AACTCGGCGAGGAGTCTGTAGAAGGTAAAGCCTGATCTCGGCTGTGTTTCAGTTAGCATATGATTTAAATATAAACAAAAGAAAGAATTGTTAGGACGGAGGTGACAAGTACGAGTATAACGGAGTCTGTAGCAATCTGCAAAATGTAACAATGCTGATAAAGTTTTTTTATTTAAAGACAGATGTAAGTTTTATGTTGGTAAATGCATTTAGGATGCGTCATAACCAAAAGGTGTGCCAAGTCTTACCATTCATTCTCTTCAGAAAGCAGCCACAGCCTGAGTAGAGAAGCCTGTCCCCTGCCAGCATATGTTTTGGACCACTGCAGAGTGCTCTGCTTGCACACTGAGAGCAAGAGTCCTTCTCTGTAGCACGCTGGCAGGGGACAGGATTTTGCACTCAATTGGTTCCTTTTAGAAAGCAGCCACAGCCTAAGACCATGAACACCTTTGTTTTGATACAACTGGAATATGCTTAGCTTATTTAAACTGACTCGGGAGGCCCCACCCACTACAGACTGCCTGCAGAAGGGGGTGGAGACGAAACCAGTCACCCTGCACAAGGCAAGAGAGCGGCAAGAGAGCAGCAGTGACCGGTCTTTATTACAGGAGGGGGCGGAGACAGTCACCCTGCGCAAGAAAAGAGAGCAGCAGTGAGCGGTCTTTATTACAGGAGGAGGCGGAGACAAGACCAGTCACCCTGCACAAGAAAAGAGAGCAGCACTGAGTGGTCTTTATTACAGGAGGGGGTGGAGTCAAGACCAGTCACCCTGCACAAGAAGAGAGATCAGCAGTGAGCGGCCTTTATTACAGGAGGGGGCGGCGTCAAGACCAGTCACCCTGCACAGGAAGAGAGAGCAGCAGTGAGCGGTCTTTATTAGAGGAGGGGGCGGAGTCAGGACCAGTTAGATAATTTCAGCAAACACAATCTCTTGAAACAAAATCTTTATTGTAAATGTCTGAAGAGCGATGACCGCTTACAAGCGTCCTCTTTATCTTCTTCCCTTACAGATCCCATCCCCCAGCTGGACGTGAACGAGGCCAACAACGAGTTCATGGCACAGAGCGAGGAGCTGTACGAGGCTTTGATGGACTGCCAGTGGCAGCCGCTGGACACCGTCACCTCCAAGGTCCCCTCCGAGGTCCCCTCCGAAGCCTGACCGCCTCCATATTGGCCCCGCTGTCCTATAGACTGTGCTCTGCGTTGTATCCCCTTATGGGGAGCGTTCATTTTGTTAAGAATAATTGTGTATATAAAGCGAATCATTTGAACACATTTTGATATTTAATATTAAAAATATTCCTTTTTTTTTTTTCCATTTTATTTTGCAGCTGTTTATACATTTGTATCCATCTAAAAAGTCGTCTTCCCCGTGTGCCGGTCTCTGTGTTCTTACGATTGGCTCAATGCCTTTTCTATAGGGTGGCAGGACCGCAACACGTATGTAAATGGCGCGGTCCTGAAGGGGTTATACCAATAGCCTGGTACTGTTCTTTGCAGCTGTCAGCTTTGGGTGGTCGTGCAGCTGCCCGATCACTTGTATGCAGCTTCAGCGTGTGTCCCCACTCTGCCACCAGCTATATCGGGCTCAGTGCGGGCCCCGAGACTGGCACGGCGGGTGATGTGCTAATCTCCCTCTGATCCAGCTGCTGATCTCCCCTCTGCTCGCTGTCATCGAAAACAAGGATTTCATCACGCCCGGTGCCGCTCTCATTTCTCTGCCTGCTGTGGCCGGAGAAGCTGGTGACATCCAAATGTGTCCCACCTTGGCGGGCCCTTCTCTTCCTTGTGTTGGAACCCTAACAGGGGCAAAAGATCTCTGCGTCATCAGCTTCAGTGGGCTCCACAGGGGACTAATAGACCCCTGATGTCACTTCCTGTTTCAGTGTTACATTTCTTCGGCTGCTGTGGCCAGAGAAGAAGCTGCTCAAGTACGATCTCTGCTTCAGTGGGCTCCATAGGGGACTAATAAACCCCTGATGTCTCCATAAAGCTGGCTCTGCTGTCCCCACGACTGGGCACATCTGTACCTCGATCGGAGGGAGATCAGCACACTTCCAGCGGCTGCCCTCCCCTCGGATCGCTAAAAGTGGAAGCGATGTGTATTGCATCACTTCCTGTTTCAGTGTTCCATTTCTCCAGCTGCTGTGGCCGGAGAGGAAGCTGGTGACGTACAATATCTGCTTCAGTGGGCTCCATAGGGGTCTAATAGACCTCCATAAAGCTGGTCCTGCTGTTTACTGGACTGGGCACAACGGGTTGGTGTTCTGTACCTCGATCAGCACACTTCCAGCGGCCTATCTCCCCTCAGATCACTGAAAGTGGAAGCGGTGGGTATTGCATCACTTCCTGTTTCAGTGTTCCATTTCTCCGGCTGCTGAGGCCGGAGAAGAAGTTAGTGACGTACAATCTGCTTCAGTGGGCTCCATAGGGGTCTGATAGACCTCCATAAAGCTGGCCCCCAGACTTGGCACATCTGTATCTCGATTGGAGGGAGATCAGCACGCTTCCAGCGGCTGACCTCTCCGATCACTGAAACAGGAAGTGGTGTGTATTGCATCACTTCCTGTTTCAGTGTTCCATTTCTCCGGCTGCTGTGGCCAGAGAAGAAGCTGGTCAAGTACGATCTCTGCTTCAGTGGGTTCCATAGGGATCTGATAGACCTCCTTAAAGCTCGCTCCCCCGGACTGGGCACAACGGGTCGGTGTTCTGTACCTCGATCGGAGGGGAGATCCGCACGCTTCCAGCGGCTGACCTCCCCACCGATCACTGAAACAGGAAGCGGTGTGTATTGCATCACTTCCTGTATCAGTGTTCCATTTCTCCAGCCGGAGAAGAAGCTAGTGACGTACAATCTGCTTCAGTGGGCTCCATAGGGGTCTGATAGACCTCCATAAAGCTGGCCCTGCTGCTGAAACAGGAAGCGGTGTGTATTGCATCACTTCCTGTTTCAGTGTTCCATTTCTCCGGCGGACATGACCCTGGTAACGTATGATCTGTGCTTCATCAGCTTCAGTGGGGGGTAGAGAGGTGACAGTAGGGGGTCTAACAGACCTCTGACGTCTCCATAAAGAGGACCTGTCACTGTGTCGGTGCAATCACATAGGGGAATGGTTGTTAGATTCAATAGCAATAAAGTGTAAAAAAAAAGTTAAAAAGTCCCCCACCTCCACCTACGTACAAATCCAACAGGATGCTGGTGACATAATTGACCTTATAGCTCCACGTGGCCATATTTGGTCACTGACCTATAACGGGGGTCGGCAAACTTCACCCCACCAGCAGTGGGGAAACTACAACTCCCATTATGCATCTGCCTTTTTGAGTCATGCTTTTGCCTGTCAGTGTCTTGCAGTACCTAATAGGATTTGTAGTTGCACCACAGCTGGAGGGCCGGAGTTTGCCTACCCCTGACCCGTAAGGTTGTCACCAGCCCCTTTCTTTACATGCAGCTGCAGGGTGGAGAACGCCCCGTCCGCAGCTGATTGGGGCTCCACTGACATGCTGTCTTCTAGGGTGACAACAGGGACGGGGGCAAGGTGTGTTGTCACCCTATAACAGGAAGTGCCTGAACAATTCTGATCGATGATGTCATATTTTAGTGAATGGGTTTACATCTACTCCACAGGCCCCGCAGACGACCATGGCCTCTGGTGCGCATTGTGTGTTCTGATCATGTGACTGGTTCTCTTGTTGGAGGTACGTCACATATCTCCTCCAAGTGGTGTAGGCGGTGCGCATTCATCCGCACGCGGGCCGCGTCCGTCTCCCGTAGGTACGTCACGTGTTTCCAGTTGGCTGATTCCACACAGTGTGATTATATCCCCCGGCTGGTGGGAGCGCTCTGTACTTATATGTGACGTCCTGTCATAACAGCAGCAGATGTGACAGTACGATGTCATGTATCCCCGCCCACCGCGCCGCCATTTACTTATAACCTGTTCATCGCCAACACGCAGAAGCAGCCTACTATCCAATCGGACGGCCCTGGTTCCAGGTACATGATGATCCCCCTGCCATGTCCGCAGTCTCTGACCATCTCCTGTAATATGTCAGCAGTCTCTGACCATCTCCTGTAATATGTCAGCAGTCTCTGACCATCTCTTGTAGTATGTCTGCAGTCTCTGACCATCTCCTGTAATATGTCTACAGTCTCTGACCATCTCCTGTAGTATGTCTGCAGTCTCTGACCATCTTCCATAGTATGTCTGCAGCCTCTGACCATCTCCTGTAGCATGTCTGCAGTCTCTGACCATCTCCTGTAGCATGTCTGCAGTCTCTGACCATCTTCTGTAGCATGTCTGCAGTCTCTGACCATCTTCTATAGCATGTCTGCAGTCTCTGACCATCTTCTATAGCATGTCTGCAGTCTCTGACCATCTTTTTCAGACCATTGAGGATGTTTTCCACTACATCCTGTCTTAGTGACTCAAATGGAATTTAGGGGTGTTTATCTCTCTAACCTTCCTCTCCTGGTGACCCCTTTTATATTATTGGGCATTATGTTGTCGGTAACAGGAAGAGATGACGATTCTCTTTCCATACAGGAGCCAGCACAGCCCTCCAGCCCACGTGACCCGCGCTCGCCCCCGTCCCTCCATCGCTCACAGACAAGAACAATGCAGCGGCAACCCACGTGACTCCTCACACGGCTCCCCCTCTCGCTGACGTCACCGACCCGGCGCCGGAAGTAGTCAGTATTGACCGGGACCGCAGTGACACAGTGAAACGGAGAATGGAGGAGATCGGGATCATCATAGAGAAAAGCGGCGCACAGGTACGGTGTGGAAATATGGCGAATCTCTGTAGTCATGTCCATCCTGCCGAGGCTGTTCTACACCCGTCCCCGTACTCCTGCCATTGAGGGAACTACGGGGCCCGGGAAACGGTACTGGGGGCCGGATAATCCCCCCAGGGACCAGCATAGGGCTCCAGGCTCATCACTTCCAACATGGCTGAACATGATATAACGCAGTTATGAAGTCAACCCTCCTTCTTAGGTCTCAATAGCCCACCATACACTATACAGTCCCAGCGTACAATCTCCTTTAACCCCTTCATGACTGATGCCTGTTTTTTTCATTTTTTTTGTTTACATGTTATAATCCACATTTTAGATCTGCAAATTACTTAAAACCCCCAAACAATATATATTTTCTGAAAGCCGAGACCCTATAGAATAAAATGCTGGCAGTTGCAAACTTTTATGTTGCACGATATCAGCGCAACTCCTTAACAAATCCCAAAATGTAGTGAAAAATGCACTTAAATGCCCCAAAACGCAATAAAATACCTATTTTTAAAAGTGTGCAAGATGAGCTAACAACAAGTAAATAGATACACAGCACACCCAGGTTAAAATTTGTGTGTGCCCGTGAAACTGCACCCCAAAAAGTCCATAGATGATGCTTTAAAAGCCCCCACAGGTCATCAGTTTAGAGATGCGCGTAAATACTGGCGTATTGGGGGGGCCTTTTCCGACCCGTAGAAGCGATCTGGCGGCAGCTGAGCCTCCAGAATCGCTTCTACTGTAAAGTCGACAGCCGGCTTTACAAGTTTAAACAGAGTCCCGGGGTTACCAGCCGCCGGGAGTCTGTTTAAACGGCCCAGTAGCGTCCACTGTACATCACTGTTCATGAAGGGGTTAAGATGACATCACCATGTACAATCTCCGTTAAGATAGCCATAGACCATACAATCTGATTGTACAGTCTCCTTTATGTCAGCCATACATGATGTGGCGCTGGGGCCTCCCTGATTGGATCCAACTTGAATGGACTGTCCTGGTAATATGTGGTTTTGGTAAATCTAAAGGTGCCCATACACTGCACGATTATCGTACGATAATCGTATGCGATCGGGTTTTCGTACGATAATCGAGCAGTGTGAACGGAGACGTGCGACCGTTTCTACTGTACGGTCGCACGTCTTCTGTCGAACCAGCATGTTCGAAAACCAGCCGGGAATCGTACGATTCTCGGCTGGTTAGAACGGTGCTCGGAAGATAAATGCTGAACGGGCCGGTGTGCGCACGCGCACACTGCCCGTTCAGCATTGCGGTCATCGGAAGCCCGCCCCTCAGGGGGGGGGGCTTGCGATGATCGAGAGTGCGATCTGCCTGTCCAAGATAGGCAGATCGTACGTTTTTTTAATCCCTTTACAACCATCGCAAGACTAAAGTCTTGCGATGGTTGTAGAGTGTATGGCCACCTTTAGGCAGATT